GCAGTGATTCAGCAGATGTTCTGCAGTGATTCAGCAGATGTTCTGCAGTGATTCAGCATTCTTTAAGTACTCTGCCTCATGCTGACTTTTCATAGAAAATTCAAACTTAGTTTTTGAACACTCTAGAGTCTTTTCATCCTGAGGAGAACACAATCTGGTTGTAATAAATTCAGACGTTCATGTTGTGATGAGAGGATGAAACTTCTGACTGGAACTCCATGTCAACCAAAAGCTAACAGCGTGCAGCTCAACTCCTGCCCTAAAAYTCTGCAATAAATCTTTTGTCCCTAAAATGGTCCCGGATGTCCCGGTTGATGACGCAGCTGCAGAGCATCCCGAAGCTTCAGAAACCGTTAAATGACCACGAGTCCAGACTCTGAAATACCAAACGGTGCTGCTTGAATCAGCCGCTCCAGGATCTACGGCCAGATTTAATTAACCAACTCATTAAGCGCCTCAGCTCTGAGATTCTGCTGCCGCTCCAAGCATCGGAGCGCAGTCTGCTGACTGATTGGTTACTGAGGCAAATGACCCATTTTTATTCAAACATCCTGAGATTCAGACGTGATTCTGTGTGAAAAGAGTTTCACTGTTGCTTTGTCAGGGTTTCTGTTCAGCCGGTCTCTGCAGACAAACCGGACTTTAATGAGACTCACAGAACAGGAGCCGAGAAGCTCAAACCCTGCCGCTTCCTTTGGGACCAAAGGGTCCAGTTTGTCAGCTCGCAGCTCTGCTGTCCGTCACGTTTCTGTCCGATGGACCGAGGGGGACTGACTGAACACAGGGACGGGATCCGGCTCAGTCCTCCTGCGAGCAGAGGCCGGTTCTGTTTGGACAGGTTTCTGGATCTGTGGAGGCACTCAGTGGGTCCTCTGTAGACCTTAGCCCCACTGCAACATGTTGGCCAGGTCTCTGCAGGACAGAAACGCCTTCAGTTCTTTTAGGACCTGATAATAGTCTAAACTTCAGACAGAAAACAGGGAAAAGTCCAGAATCAGATGATTGTTTTTCTCTTCAACCTCCTGCTGCAGCGCCACCTACTGGTGGATGTTTCCAACATCTTCACATGGTAAACTGTGGGCTGCTGTTTGTAAAGTTACACAGTCAAAAATTACCACCAATATTTTTGTTTTATTTAGTCTTTTATAAGAAAAAAAAGAACAGATTTATTTTTCAAAGTCAGTTTTTCACCATATGATTCATACATTAATAAATGTCAGTTTATAAACTAAATATTTAACTTAAATATTTAGCTAAATATT